GTTGAAAAACCTCTTGCTATTACTGATACTAGCAGCAAAGGTGAAAGGTCTTTCTATAATACTTGGGAGAGATCGAACATATTAAGTCCGATGCTTATGCGGATGAGTATAGCCAACAACATTAAGTCTACTCTTCCTAAAATCGATGATGCTAAGGAATTTATGAAAGCAGTTGGGGAACGCTCTCAAACTGCAGATTAGTCTCTCGTTGAGACACTAATGGCTATACTAACCACCATAAAGTTTGAAGGTTTGTGATCCATTCATGAGCATGCCATCGAAATGACAAACCTGGCAGCAAGATTGAAAGCCTTAGGGATGACTGTGGATGATAACTTTCTGGTGCAGTTTATCTTGAATTAACTGCCCCTTGAGTATGGTCCGTTCCAAATGAACTATAATACCATGAAAGATAAATAGAATGTGAATGAACTTCACACTATGCTAGTTCAAGAGGAAACACGGCTTAAAAATCAGGGCTCTCATTCAATAAATCTTATTACCAACCAAGGAGCTGATAAGAGAGTCGGGAATAAGAATGTGAAGGGCAAGCGCGGACCATTGAAAGTGAATGTGCCGTCTGCCCAAGCCCCGAAGAAGGAACTCAATAATGTAAAGTGTCGCTTTTGTGGAAAATCCAGACACTTTCAAAGAGATTGCTTGAAACGAAAAACTTGGTTCGAAAAGAAAAGTACTAATGCTTTTGTATATTTCGAATCAAATTTAATTGAAGTTCCTCACAATAACTGGTGGCTTGATTCCTGTTGTACCACTCATATTTCGAAATCCTTGCAGGTTTTCTTTACGATCCAAGCCACAAAGCTAAATGAAAGATTTGTTTTTATGGGAAATCGAGTCAAAGCTCCCGTTGAAGCCGTAGGAACCTACCGTTTAATTTTAGATTCTGGACACCATTTAGATTTATTTGAGACTCTTTATGTACCTATTGTTTCTCGCAATTTGGTTTCTATTTCTAAACTCGATTATGTTGGATATTCATTTAATTTTGGCAATGGTTGTTTAATTTTATTCAAAAATAATTATCCAATTGGTTCTGGTGTTCTTGAAAGTGGTCTTTACAAATCAAACTTGACAACCTCTTTGTTGAAACCCTTTAACCCTGCATTATGATGTTGGAACTAAACATGGTTTTGTGAATGAAAACTCTGTTTACTTGTGGCATAAACGTTTGGGGCTAAGGCTAGAATAATAAATACAAACAACTAAATAGAGATTTAAAATTAAAGCGCACCGACTTAATAAATAAGGTTCGAGTCAAATGCATAAGTTGGAAATAGTTTAAAAGGGATTAGTTCTTAAACATAATTAATGAAGTTCAAAGGCGTTTTAGAAGATAAGGCAGTTATAGTTTCCCCCGATTATCATATGACATGGATGCATCAGTTAGGTATAACAGAAGCATCATCACCTACAAAAAGGTTGTAAGAAGAGGGTCAACACAACGGTTGAGTAAGCGCAATTAATCGAAGATAAAGTAATACGGTATAATGCCACAAAATCATTTGAAGAAGATAATTTGAATAAGATGACACATATCACATAAGGATAACTCACACAAATGAGTCTTTTAGCGCCCCCCTTATATGTCTTTTTCATTCACAAATAATAGTGATGAGCACATCACGAAGAAAATTCCACTAGGCCTTAATCAGGGCCGCTTCGACCCGGTTTTTCAACCTTATTACTTCGTATGACACATCACATAGTTTCATATAACAAACATAGGGTCACAACCCTCAAGGAAAACTCCACAATGTGTACATAAGGGTTCGAAACCCAAAGTACACGTAAATCAATTTATTATTAGTTTGCGAGGGGCGCCATACGGCCCACAACCCTCTAGTCTCTAATATAACATACCAAGAGGGGATTGTACGCAATCCAACCCTCCATCACGGATGACGGTCCAAAGACCTTTCTCATCGTGAATGATGGGCACCTCGGAATCACCCAAAAAGGGAACCAGCCATCTCGATCCCTCGACCTAGCCCATTCGGGATCTAGTTCAAGGTTAGCTAGTTATCCTAAAATACCTGTATACCCTCACGTGTTTGCAAGGCACAGAAGTGGAAGGCTATGCCTTATCATCCAAACAATCGACGAGTTGATCGGACTCGACGGGTAGTTTCAATTACCAATTTGACCAAATACTCAACATGCTTTTAGGCAAATTTCAAAAAGGGTGTTTTAAAATCAAAATATTCCAATTTTCAATATTTAACCACGCAAAAGTAGGATATTAGAGCCAACGAGTTCGTTATAATCTCACTTTATTTCGCCAAATAAACAATCGAAAAATATGTCAATCACAATAGGCACGGTCTAACTCCAAAAAATCATAATATTTAAATATAATCGTAAATCTTTTTCCAAAAACCATTACTAGGTTAGGGCAAAACTAGGGTTTCAAACCCATCCTATAAATTCTACGATTTTCAATTTAAAATACAATAACAATCTTCACATAAGCCTTAGATGACATTATAATCAACTTTCTATAAGAAATTGGCAAAACCTAACACTTTTAGGGCAAACCCATTTGACAATAATTTTGAGAAAAAATATCAATAGAAGAAGTTTAGGGATTAGAATATATCATCTATCTAAGATTGACCCCACTTACCTTAAGAGAATAGACCAAAAAGAAGAGTTTTGGAGAAGAAGAATTCCAAGGAAGAAGAAGGGCTGGCTGGCTGAAGGCGTGTTGTGCTGCTACCTCTGTTCTTTTCTTTTCTATTTTATTTTATTAATCATAAAAGACTTGGACTCATCCTCTGTATATATAGACATTCTAACCTGGATTTGCTATATCTTAACAAACTATGGATACGCTATATTTTATCAAATCCACACTTGGATATGATATATCTTAACAAATTATGGATAAAGATACATAAATTAAGAGATACGGATAAACTAAATCTAGTTTATTTATTTATTTTACCCTAAATACAATTTTACTCATAATTTAAAGCCAATTCCTTAATTTCTAATACCAAAATTCTAAAATAAATTAAGCCCAAAATAATATTGTCCGACACCGGCGTCGAACTCCGGCAAGTTCCGGCGAACTTCCGGCGAGTATTTTTACGTGGTATTACACAAGGTCAGTATATAGCATATATGTATTTCATTGATTTTGTGAAAATTATAAAGTTCAAGGTGTGCGAATTGATCGATTATATTTTATTTTTTAACTTACAGAAGATACTGGAATAAAGAAAAATTGGGAAAGAAAGAGATACAGAAAGAAAGAAAAAAATAGGAAAAAAGAAGATAAGGGAAGGGAAAAAGCAAAAATTGGGGAAAAGAAAATACAGGAACGAACGAATCAGCTGCGGGCTATAAAATAAATTAGGGCTAATATGGTATATTTTATAATAATAATAATAATAAATTTATAAATTAAATTATTATACTCCCTTCGTCCCATAACTATCTAACTATTTTTTTTCACAGAAATTTAGAAATATTAGTATTATATTGACATACTGTAGAAATAAAATAAAAAGACTAATTTGTGTAATATGTTGTAAATTGAAAAGGTATTTGTAATATTAAGTAGATAATACAATTATTTAAAAAAGTAAAATTAATACTTTGCTATGAGATGAAGTAAAATAAAAAAAAATGGATAGATTATTAAGGGACAAAGCGAGCATATTATTAATTATTACAAAAATAAAAAGAAAATAGAAGAAGAAAAAAAAAGATAGAGTGGAGACAAGAGGTAAGTCCAAGATGAGAGAAGAACCATGAGGTTTCCGCCACAGTGAACTTTTTGTTATTTTCCTAAAATTTATAACGAGCTAAATTAAAAAATTCAGCTGCTGTGCTGATGCATAACTATTAAAAATTTCAACACTTTTTTAAATTATGTCAAATTAAAACATACTTCCTTTGAATTTAAGCTTTATCGATCAATAACAGACTAGCATATATTTCATCAGTCTTCTACGGTTTTTATTACCCATACTTCAATCATTTTGACATTATACCTAACTTTTTATCTACTCACTTTCCTATTAAAATATCCTATTTTTTTGGCGAACACAAGGGAGTATTATAGAACCCAATTTCAGAGCTACTCACAATAATGATTTAACTAACTAGCCACATTTTCAAACAAACTCGAGTAGTAAGATCAACTAAAATTTAATTATAAATCAAATAAAATGTGGATCCCTGTGATCAAGTCAATAGCAGACAAAGAGAAGAATCAAGGAGCTAATATTAGTGGTGCTGGTAAAATTTGATCATGTCATTCTGTACTCTTTACTGATTGCCATTAACAGCAGAATCCAAAATGAGGCAACGTTGCTAGTTCCGCCTCTACTAATTAAATCTAATCTCAACGGCACAAGAAGCATACCTGGTATTTGTCAGACTTACGGTAGATCAGAATTCACAACACAATCATCCCCTCCAAACAATTTAGCCACCTCCAGATTTAAGTGTATTGCTCAACCTACGCATACAGTTTCCAGAACACAACAGCAACATGAAGACTAGTAGATTCAAGACTAATATCATATTTATGCAAGACTGATTCCCCGAATATTTTCCAGAGAGGGAAAATGTAAAAGACTAAGGAATCTAATTCATGTCGTATTAATTAGTGAACCATGTATAGATTGCTTGCTAGCTACCATGTTGACAGGAATCACAAGTTTGATAGTTTACTGGAGAAGTTAATTAGTACTTATGCCTTTGCTATTTTTAATCATCTTCATGAATGTCTATTATATCTTTAGAGATGGACAAAACCAGAATTAAGGACAGATCTTGTAGAATTTCTTGTAAAGGATAAAAAGGGTAGTGTCAGATTCAGTCGTTGTAAAAATAAAAAGTTAATGAGTAAGCACATTAGGCTAGCACTTGTATGAATCCATGTGATTGTGTAGAAAAAATAGTGGAGCTTACCAGTCTAGGCCCTCAAAGAGGCCCTCTCCCTTTATGGCGGAAGTTTTGAAGATAGCCTATTGCCGATTCTTAATTTTGTGCAATTCTAAGGCCTCAGTTATCGAAGCATCATCCATTGCTCCAGGAAGATCCTGTAAGTCAGATAATGTTAAGCCACAAGAGAGTACACTTATCTAACTTGTGAGTGGATTAACAAGCAACTTCAACCGACACACAGAGTTAACAAGTATGCAAATGCATCAAGAAATTTCTGCTTATCGTATGTAAATTAAGTGCAATGTTAATTTTTATATATATGGCATAAAGAATGGTATAAAATTCCACCTGCTTGTTAGAAAACAAGAGGACAACGGCGCCTTTTAGCTCTTCCTCCTGGCAAGGGACCAATGTAATTCCATATAAGAAAGAGGAAAGTACAGTCAATCATTAACAAAGATCATCAGGAGACTGATGTAGGGAAAATTAAAACAGCTAGAAACAACAACCATTTTTCATTTCTATTTAAGTTGAAAACAAAACTGCCAAGGCCTAAAATATTAAAAACCAAAGCTAAAGGTAAACAAACTGTTAAGTACTGGTTCAAGTTCCAGGGCCACCTAGGTAGGAACTTACTGTAAGAACACTCAGAGAACTTCAAAGGATCATGTGCAGCAAAATTATGCAAACAGTGGCCATTCAATATTTTACAAAAACTACTAAAGTGTTTATTAAAAAAAACATCACTCTAATTTTGATTATGTTCTTGAAATTTAAAGCTTCACAATTAAAGAGAACAATGTTAACCTTTGACAACTAAAAGTACCATAATCGGGACAGCATACCTGTTGAAGCAAGCACAAGCAAGTTGTTTACCATGAATATGTGATGGTGACATATGAAATAAAAAATATTTTCATTACATTCTTAAGTAACATAAAGTTTAGCTTATTTGATCTTCCATTAACCTTGGTGTAAAACTGAACAAGAACATCCCCTTTGAAATATATAGGTGATGAACTTTCTTCTGATAATACATAAATGGAAATATCACCTCCAATATTGCATGGAATTCTTCCTTGGCAACCACTAGTCTATCAGTATCACTTGAATCAACAACATATATTATCGCTTGAGTATTGGGAAAGTAGCACCTCCAGTATGGCCTAAACAACAAAGCAAAACATCTTAGGATCGATTCAAGGGATTAAGAAGTTCTAAAGAAAGCTGAGCTTGTTTTATAAGAAATAAAAAGGAAAAGACACCGGAAAATTAAGACTATCATTTAGTATATGTGTATCATTGAGGTTGGTTCAAAGATGAGTAAGGTCTATTGTAAGATGCACTCACTCACCACAACTCATGTTTTATATAGAAATAAGGATTCTCGCTGTAGCATCATCTAGTAATAAAAATATGTAGCACTTTCGCTATCAACAAAAAAATGTACCAGCAATCTATCCAGATTTGAAGGATTTGGCAAAGTGTTGTCTTAATTCAAAATTTCGACTTATCTACCTATGTATATATGAACACATTCAAGATAAACAATCATTGAAATTCAATAGTTAACCAAAGCTCCTAGTGAACAACCAATGTGACTGTAATAATAGTAGAAAAAAAAAAAAAAAACTACTGCTAGACATTTTTACCACTTCCATTGAAAAATTAAAGTGAACTTGATGTTGTCAAGCACCACATAAAGTATTCAAAAATATACAAAAGAAAAAAGTTAAAATTTAGAAAAAATAATAATAACAATAAAAGCAATTCCTACCTGAAAACATAATATTATTTTGACAATTTCACCTTGGTAAATTATTTATCCATGGCAGTAATTAACTAAATCTATCAATTCTTAAATACAGAATAAAAAATAAAACATTCTATTGAAAAGTAGAAAAGTATGAAAAAAAATCATTAGAGAGAGATTTTAACATGGATTTAGAAAGAAGAAATGTCATTACTGCACAAATCCAATAGGCAATATTAGACAGGGTACAGACACATGTCAGTATTGTGTGATTGAAAAGAGAACCATTAAATTGGACAAATTAACTAAATAGACGATAGAATTAAAAATCACAAGTAATTACTTTCCAAATATGAGTAATTAGTGACCTGATACTAGTCTGCCCACCTGCCACAACAAGGAGAACCACCAATGTTACAAATAAAAAACTTCAGAATGACTTCTTAGAAATGGTTGGAAGAGAAACTACTAAGGAATCACAAAACCACCGAGCATAAATGAAATTGTGATAACAAAGAGCATTCCCATGATTATTTTCTTGAATGTTATTTTATGACTTCCACAGGTTAAAGTTATAACTGTGTTTTGTAGTTGCATTAAGCTTAATGGCCTAGATGCCTAATTATACTCTAGAATCACGACCCACCCTCATAAGCAAATCGTATGTCTATAAAGTAAATCATAGCTTATAGAATCCTTCGGCTCCTTGATGGAAAGAATGAAAAAGAAAAAATAAGGAAGCAAATTTAAAACATTTACATTCCAATCATTTAGCTCATGAGACACACCGAAACTGCAAGTATAACAAAACAATATTCCTCCCTCATCGGTGAAGTGATTATATATATTTTAAAAAAAAAAATCTTAGGCTAACTAGAAGGATACTGTTGACTTGTAGTCTACATTCTCTAATTCAGTTAAGATAAACCTACAATTATCTTTTATAATATATGGCAACATTTGAAACCACAGCCAGTGGCAACATTTAATAGCTGATAGTTGTTACAAATTCATTCCACTGTGTATTAATGTGAATAATTCATCCATGGACATCATTTGTTTTCATGCTCTGGAGCTCTAATGAGAGTGAAAGCCTAAAGCCAAGAAGTCCTCAACTCCTTCTTTTCATATTTTCAACATAAATCACCAAGGGCGACACATGACACAGTCAATAACAACCAAACTCAGAAATTACAAATTAAAATGATGAATCCCATACGAAAATAAACAAATTCACGAGTCCAAGTCAAACAGCAAGGATCCTGAAAGCCAAAAAACTTTGAAAACAATCCCAATTCTATTAAGGATGATAAACTCACCTAAATCCCAAACTTGGAACTTTATGTTGTTATATTGCACTGTTTCCATATTGAACCCAATAGCAGTAAAATGAAAAAGGCATCTACTCATTAATCAAGTAAAGCAAAGTTTCCCTAATCCTATTTTCATACTACACATTTCGCATATCACTGTTTGTCATATTAAATTCTGCCTATGAAATAGATGCAGCAAATTAATGAACTCAAGGAAGCAACCAAAACAAGCTTAAGAGAAGAAAATAACATAAAACAATTAGAAACAATGCAAAATATCCAAAAATTAGCGCGTTAAATGTCAGTCAACCCACGTTCATAGAATAACAGTATCGAATTGCTTAAAGTAAGGATAACAAGGTAAGTACTTGGAATAGTAGACACTACTTCACCCATCTGAAGTCGATCTGCGAAAACCAATAGCTAAAGAGAATTAATTAAAAGTCATCACCAAGGCAAGTAGGCAACAACAACAACATGAATCTTATGAAGCGAAAAATGAGGCATACAAAGAATGGTGGTCTTTCTGGCATTGTCGAGGCCCAACACAAGAATCCGAGCTTCCTTGTTCCCGAAGAGTGAAGAAAACAGCCTCGTGAAAACAATTCCCATCTCACCCTCAATCAAGTTGAGAGTGAATACGATGAATTGAATCTAACTATGTTATAATATATAAAATAAACAAATAAAGGATCTGATCTGATCCAGGCAAAGTATCAGCACCTCTTACCCTCCCTTTCCTGCAAAAAATTGAAATAAAAGACGACGACTCACTGTAACTGGAACAATGAAGCCGATTGGCATTGTGACGAAATACCTGCAGACGACAGCGAGCCAGGCTGGGTGCATCTCAGCTGTCAGCCCCGCGGCTGTGCGCGTTGTTATCTTTCCCTACTCATACCAGAGTTTCTTCGTCAGTCACGATACAATATACTCTCATTATAAATAATTTTATACTCCAGCCATGTATTATTTTATTATTTTTATATAAAAAATATTGTTAATAATTTTAAAATAAAAATTAATATATATAATTAAAAATTAAAATATATATTTAAATATTTTAAATTTTATATTTTTAAAAAATATATATAATATATAAATATTATTTAATATATAATATAAATAAATATATATATTTATGCTTAATATAAATTGATTTATAAAAAATTCAAAATTTTAAATATATATAAAAATATTTATTTATTAAAAAGAAAGACAAAAATAAAAATTTTGATGGAATCCTCTATATAATTTTATTTGTTATAAATTTAATTAACTTTTATTTATATTTATTAAATATATTTTAAATCAATTAATTTTTATGATTCGAAAGTTTAGGATAAAAAATAGAGAAATGAAAGGGATGGAATTTTAAAAAAAAAAACAAAAAATTGTGTTTACTTTAATTTTTTAAGAGGCGAGTGGAGGGGCGTTTTTTTTTTTTTTTTTTTTTTTTATTCCCTTCCAATATGAGGAACTTGGAGTGAATGAATTTTATTAAATATTGTTTTTTATTTAATTGTCTATTATATTTTTTTTAACATTTTATTAAAAAATTTATTATATTTTTTAACTTTAATATTTATTTAATTTATTTTTAATTATCGAATAAATATTAATGTATATTGTGCATAAATTTAAATTACATTATATATTTTAAATTAAAATTTGCAATAAAATTAGTTATAATATTTGCAAAATATAATATATAAAATTATATATAATTTTAAAGATAAATAAATAGTTTTAAATGATTGTATTTAATTTTAATAATTGATTTTATCAAATAAATATATTTTAAAAAATTAACATAAATTATTAGATTAATTTTTATAATTGATTTTAATTTATATAAATTTTACAGATTTGTTATATTTGTATATAAAATTATTATTTTTTTTGTATTTTGATTTTAATAAATACTTACGTTATTTAAAACAAATCACATTAATTTAATTCAAATATATTTTAAAATACTTTTAAATAATTTTAATCAAAATTATTTTATAATTAAGTATATATTTTAATTAACTCAATTTAAATGATGTGATTTAGTTTAATAATTAATTTAATTTATATAAGTAGATTTGAATTTGACACGATAACACAAGACTTAGTTTTTATTATATAATTAATTTATATGATTTTATGTTATGTTGTTACTATTTATAAGTAAATTATGATTTATCTGTATTGACGACGTTAATAAATATCTGTCCCTCTGTCATGGACCGAAATTGATCAACTACACAAGACACGGAATAAACTAATCAAAACGGAACTAACTAAGAAAGAAAAGAATAAATTAACTAAGCGGAAACAAATAAAGCGAGAAAAAAGATAATCGAAAGAGAAGCAAACCTAAGTAAGTACTAACGTAAGAACGACCCGATACCCTTCTAGCATCGAACCATCCTCCACGAAGGCACCACCTCGGTCGACACTTTGGAGAGCTCTTCCATCTTCCCCAAATGCCACGAACTTGAGGCTTTATACTCAAACCCGAATTTTTAAACTAAACCCCATGGAGCATGCAATGGAATTGCATTCCATGAAATATTAGACTAAAAGAGAAAGTATTGCTATCAAGCATAACTTTCCATAAAAAGGAAATGATCATAAATGATCAAATATTCACAAAAATATTCTTACTTGGTGTGTCTTACAAAGCACCTTAAGAGTCCTATTTATAAGAGTCCTATGTGGGATGGGTTGTGTATAAGTAAGTAACCTCTCAATGAGTGACACCTAGCTAATGGTCCCCCCCAATGAGTGACACCTAGCTAATGGTCCAATGGATGGTCCCCCCCTCTTGAGCATGTGCAACCTAGGTTTATATAATTATATATTAAACCCTCTATTTTAGCAATCTCCTAGGTTTGCTGAACTTTTCCGTTAGTTGTCCGATTGAGGCGTTGCAAGTTCCAATGTCGACATCCATCGATAAGTCTTCGGCTATTGCAACATGGGCTTTAATTGCTCCTCAACTTGCAAACTTCATCATCAAACCTTGTAATTTGTCAATGCGGGCTCTCTCTCGGGTTCTCGAAGCTGGTTCGATGGGAGGCTTTGGAATTGTGAATCTTGACGTTCGGACATCCATGTCATTCCCTCCCCCTGACGTTCGGACATCCATGTCATTCCCTCCCCCTTCAGAAGGTTGAGCCATCAACCATTGTGCGTCCTTATCCGCTTGAACATTAGATGCTAAATCATAAAGAACTTCTAGTAATGAATTACATAAAAATAAAAAGCAACTCCCTTCTTCATCACAGTCACCTGCTTCTCGCTGAAAATCGGTAAGTGAGAGTAGGATGTTGGAACCCTTATAAGGACCAATTGCGATCGGCATCTTGCCTTGTCTAGTGTCTTTCAGATCACCACTAGAATGCATCCACAGAAGATGGCGGGAAGATGAATGTTGTAGAGTTTGGAATCCAATCTTGTCTATCACTAAGCAACTAACATCGGTGCAACTTGCATTATCAACGATCATTGATGGTCGCTCTCCACCAATCTTGCACCAGCAATTGAGCAAATTCTCCCATTTCTCCTTAACCCGATCAACAAATAATTCCGACTCCTTGGGAATAGCACCAAGCATTTGCAAAGTCAACTTTTCCAATAAATCTTCTTCAAGTTGTTCTTCTGTCACTTGGAAAACCTCAGCCTCTCTAGCCTTGACCTCAGGTTCCCAATTATCACCCTCATCATCCGACAAAAGTACATAGTCCCCATTGTCACAAAGCACAACAGTTCGCACATTAGGGCATATATTGGCATAATGACCTTTCCTTTGACACTTAAAGCATGTGACATCCTTTACTTTGTTTGGTGAACCATCCTTGCTGACTTTCCTTGGTTCATCACGCTTAACCACCTTAACCGGCTCATTCTTGGTCGTGTGTTTATCATCTCCTTTGGGCCAAGATTTTGTTGGTCCCGTATTACCCCCAAACTTGTTGAAATTTGGTGACGTCTTTCCAAAGCTCACACTTACTCCTACCTTTCCATGCGATTCAATCTTGGTAGCAAGTTGGACACGTTCCAAAGTAGAATTGTAAGGATACATATCCACTTTGAATCATAATATCACGCCTCAGCCCTTTGAGAAACCGATACATGGTGACTCCATCATCTTCATCTTCCTTGTAGTACTGCTCAACCGTCTTGCTACCTTGGACTAAAAACTGAAATTTTTTAAGAAGATCCATCCGATAATGCGGGGGCACAAAACGTGCATGCATAGCTCGAGTAAGGGCTGCCCATGTCTCAATCGGAGGCATTCCGGACCTTGCAGTATCAGCTTGTATCTTCTCCCACCAAACAAGAGCATACTCCTTAAACTCCACAACAGAAAGCTGAATTTTCTTGCGGTCCGAGTAATTATGACATGCAAACATCATCTCCACTTTGTTTTTCCACTCAAGAAACTCATTAGGTTCATCCGATCCTACGAAAGGTGGTATGGAGAACTTGATGGACTGCATGTTATCATCAACCTCATTAACTCGAACTCGGCTCCTTCGGTTATGGATATCTTCTTCCAAGTCAAATTCATCAAGTAACTCTTTGGTAGCATCCCGTCTTCCTCGTCGGCCTTGGATAGATGTAGGCCTTGGACTAGTATGACGCCTTTCGCCAAAATCATCAACTTGGATAGATCGATTTGGGAAAACACTTGTTGAGCCCATAGGTTGCTTGCCAAGGTGGATTTTTTCACGTCTAGCATCACTATGACTTCCCCTTTCTTCAAGAGTAGCAACCTTATCGAAAACCTCATCGAGTTTCTTTTCCATGTTTTGATCAACCTTCCTTAACAAGGCCTCCGCATAATCCTTCATCCGAGCATCCACAACATCATCTATGTCATCTTGAACATGATCAACTTGACTCCGTAGGTCATGTATCTCTCGACCTTGCTGATCCACACGAGATGTCATGCTATCCATCTTTCCACCTAACTCGTCTTTAATATCTCGCATATCTTTGCTTTGCTTATTTATCGTAGCCAAGATATCACCAACGAAGCCATACCTGCACCAAAACAAACTAATATATGTATATTGAAAGTTAGTTCTCACAATTCCCCCCCTCTCGCACACTCGTGTATACCTCTCGACAAATGGATAGAGTTTCCAAGCTCTTAAAGTGTGCCTTGATGGAGTCATAAAGGTGGAACCTGAGTGACATACGCGTTTAAAGTGGACAAGAAACTTTAAACACGACTCAATCAAAGAAAGCTCAAGATAGTGTCAATCATGCAATGCAAAGAACCAAGCTCATTCATTCACGGACAAATGACCAAACATACACAACGCACAAATGCCGGAACTAAGCAATTCGACAACAAACACAAGCTGAATGATCTCAACAACCACCAAATCACCACAATACTCAACTCCCTTTAAAACGTGTCAAACGAATATGACAAGCACAAAATCGATCCCATCTCAAAAACTCAAAACTGAATAATCAACTTCAATTACAAATTCACAAAAACTGATTAATATAACTTTCTCCCCACTTCACAAGCTTTCCAATGACATATCATACGCGAAAAATGGAGCTCGTATGAGAAAATTACAACTCAAACAAGATTATCGACA